AGCGGCAGCGGCAGCGGCAGGCGCCGGGCTTCCGCACGCCCGGGGCAAGCCGGCCGGTGAGTCTCCTGCCGCGGCTGCGGGCGCTTTATCTTCCAGCGCCCCGCGTCGGGCAGCCGGCCCGCTGGCTGGCAGGAGGGGTACCGATGGGGCCCCACTTCCGCGCGGCCGGAGGCTGCTCTTCCGGATGCCCAGAACAGCCCCCAGCTCGGAGGCTGCCGCCTCTGCGGGCGGGAGCTGGGGACCCGCGTCCTCGACGTGGAGCGGGGCCCAGGCGTGTCTGGCTGCAGCGCTCCCAGCCCTTCTCTTCTGCAGCCCCTGCTCCCGGGGCTGTTCGACGCAGCTGCCGGGGCCGAACCTGGCAGCGTCCCTGCTTTGCGCTGGCATCTTCGGGATGCATTACTGGGTGGAGTGGTGCTGAGTCAGGGCCTGTGTCCGGAGCTGTGCCAGGGGCCTGGTCCAGACGACTCCGGAGCCGTTGTGTTCCCGCCCGTCCAAGGGGATGGAGCGAGCGCGCTGACCTTCACAGGGGAAGATGCATGAGCTGGGGCTCTGCCAGGCTCCGGAGAGCTGGGACGAGGCATTCGGCCCAGCCTGGTCTGCTGGCGCCGTGCGAGTGGGGCGCCAGGAGCCCGGGGTTGCCAGCGCTTCCCGCCTGTCCTGTGCCACGCGGCAGATGGCTTCGCGAGCGAGCTGGGTACCCTTGCCCCCGCTCTAGCAGCGGGGGACACAGGGTGCAGGGGAGGAAGGGACTTGCCTGGGGTCGCCAGGATGGGAGCCGTTCGGTCACAGACCCCACTTGGATGCTGCGTCCTGGTCTCTGGGGCTGCAGCTGAGGGCCAGGGAGGAGCTGGTCTTGTAGCTTCTCATAGGACCCCCCTCCGGGGGTGTGGGACCTGCCGCGGTGCCCTCGGCTTGCAGAGGGTGCCTGGCCCCGGGTCCTGGCCCCTCGCGGCCGTGCTGCCACAGGGGAAGGTGCGCTCTGCAGCACCTGGAACGGGCTGGGGCCTGAAGCACCCTCCTGATAGCAGGTTATTGTGTCTGGGCCTCGCTGCCCGGAGCCCCTGCGCTTTGTGCTGACCGGTGCATTCCCGCCCCTTTGTTCCCCGCGTTGCCTGGGCACATGCAGGGACTGAGGTCACATTGCCCACGAGCTGCCCAGAACCGCCCGGCAGGTGTACGCCTGGGCAGGCGGCGAGTCCGGCTGTCGGCGTCTCGCTTGCCCGTGGCTGCAAGATTCCCCGAGCAGCCCGGGTCAGGGGTCTGGGCGGCCCCGGCTCCCGGCAGCACGGGTTATTTGGCAACCTTTCCCCAGGAAATCTCTCCTTCAAACCCTTGCTTGGAGCCCGAGGCAGGAAGATTTGCAGCTCCGATCTCAGCCCTGGGCCGTGTCGTCCGTGTTCGCGGCTGTGGCTGGATGCCCCGGTCCGTGCCGCGCTCTCTGCTCCGGCAGGAGTTGTGCTGGGCACCGGGCCTTGGAGGTCTCCTGTGGCGGGAGTGCCCCCGGCCGCACGTGGGGACGACGAGCTCCGTGCTCCGGGGAAGGGATCTGGGTTTCCCCGACTGCTGCCGTGGCAGCTGCGGAAAGCCTTGTCTGTGCACGTGGAGCTGCTGCGTGGCTTCCTGCAACGTCTGCGCCCCGGGGAAGGGGAAGTGTGGTCTCCTTTGCTTGAGGAGGTTTCTCTTGCTCCTGCCCTGATGGCGAGAGCCAGGCCTCTGCCCCGCCCCCCCCGCCGGCGAGGCTTGTGCTGTCCTGCTGTTACCTGTGGGTTTGCGGTGATGCTGGGACTCTGGCTGGGGAGGGGGAAGCCAGGCCAGTATTGCAGCCTCCTGCATTACAGCCCCAGGTAAAGGCACCCCCCCCCCC